CCAATGGCAACAATGGCATGAGCTGCCAGCAGAAGCTCCTCCCAGGTTCTCCTCGGATTGATGATGTAGGTGCCATCACTCTCCCTTTTGTAGATGGGCTGTTCCATTTGGAAGTCAAGGTTGGTGCCACCTAAGTGGGTTCCTGCTGCAAGGAATTTGAGGACATCTTCCTCCTTCATTTGCAGGACATCAGGGGCTCCGGACATTGTGCAAGTTTCCCTTTAAGTTGCATAGGAACTGAGAACACCATCATATGGCACTTCCTCTCTGGGTAGTGTGAGAAGGCACTATAATCTTTTTTTGGTGGAGAGAAAATGAGTAAGCAGGAGGAGGCCAAGAGGAAGACAAAGGTTATAATCCTATATAATAAAAGCCTAATATGCTAAGAATCCGACCGTTTGTTCGACCATTGGACCAGTTGCTATGACGTGCACTGACCACCAGGGGGAAGATGCTCCGACCGGTAGGTTAGCTTGCTGCTGGGGTCCAGCGATTGGGACTGGGTGAGACAAGGCCAGACACGCCCTGGAGCCCTCCCGAGGTCCCTCCAATCGTGCAACAGTGGGGTCCCTCGGCCTGGCCTGCGCCCTCTTGCAATCCGGGACCCCTCGGGGGATGTTGGAGAGCCGGTTTTGGTTTCAGTCCCATCTCCACAGGCCAGGCTGAGGGACCCCACCGGTACACAAATCTGTGCACTGGGTCTCTAGTGTATAGATAATAAAATCATGCTGTAGCCATATTTACTCTAAATTTTTTTATTTTCTCTTATTGAAAAGCATCATATAAAATATGTAATTAAATATGTAGTAGTATTAAACACATGTAAGATACTACTAGCTGCTATGGAACCTACTGTGTGTTTTACAAATGTTTATATCTAAGTTCTATATTTTGTAAAATGTTACTTTATTATGGGAAACATTCTTATCACACTAATACAGAAAAGTCTGGCCTGGAATTACATTATAGGTAGAGTAGATGTTCATTGGCCATGCCTAGTATTTCTGAGATAATGGCAGGACTTTCTTAGCCCCTGAAAATCACCCTAAATACACTTATCACCTAGCTTCCCAGAGTGCCAAGAATTGCAAAGTTCATACTTGATCTAGCCTGGATGTTAAGGTAGTTACTTAGCTCATTAATTAGAGCATTAATGAGATTAAGGTCATGACTTTATTGTATGAACCAGTATCATTTCCAGAACCTCAGCTGCATTCCTAATCTCAGCTAGTTTTATTGTAAATATGGGTCATCTCCAGAAGGACTAGAGGGACAAATTCAAAACTCACCACCACTAGTTGGGGGAGAAACAGAAACCATTAAAACACTTGTCTATAGGATTATTTTTATATAACAATGATTGTTAGAATGAAGAGCTGGGGGAACTTTGGACAAGGAAAGACAGGAAAGCACAATAAAAATATCAGCATAAAGCACTGAAATGGGTGGTTTCACATGCTCGCTGGAAATGTCAAACTTCTCAAGAATCGCTAAGAAAGTCTCACTACCAGTCTCAGGCGCTCCCTGGGAAGTGGCAGTGACTAAGTGTCTGGCAGTCTGGTTGCAACTGCTTCCCTGTGAAGTGTGCTGCTCTGGCCCAGTGGTTGGCTTGTCCATGTTAACTGCTGTAGGCCAATGGCATAGGAACAAGTTGACCTGTGCCACATCCAAGCAGGAACTTTAAATGTGCTTGCGTGGTACGGTTTGGTCTCTTGCTCTTGCCCTTCACTACGAGAAAAGTGTGTCCCAGGCAGGGGCTGTTCTATCAGCCTAGGGCCAGAGGAAGACGTGCGGAGCAGAGTCAATCTAGCAGAGTTCAATTTGAGTTGAGTAGAGCTGCAGCTGATTTGTAAACCCATGAACAAGAAATAAAGGTTTTTGCCGTAGCCGGTTTGGCTCAGTGGATAGAGCGTCGGCCTTCGGACTGAAAGGTCCCAGGTTCGATTCCGGTCAAGGGCATGTACCTTGGTTGCGGGCACATCCCCAGTGGGGGGTATGCAGGAGGCAGCTGGTCGATGTTTCTCTCTCATAGATGTTTCTAACTCTCTATCCCTCTTCCTTCCTCTCTGTGAAAAAATCAATAAAATATATTAAAAAAAGAAAAAAGAAATAAAGGTTTGTCATAAATTACTAAGATTTTGCAGTTGCTTATATTAGTCTCCTCCCAGGGAATACTAAAATAAGACTTTATATATTCATCCTCTTTAATTATATCCTTCCTTTCTATATCTGATATGTCTTTAATATTCTCCTGTGTTAAAGAATTTGAAGACCAAGTTTCTAACTCCAGTTGAATTTTTTTTATTAAAGTGCATCAGTAAATAAACAGTGTTAACAATCAATACAAGCTTTACTGAAATATTCACAAATAAAAATCCTCTACTTGCCCCACCAGCGTGGCTCAGTGTTTGAGCATCGACTTATAAACCAGGAGGTCACGGTTCCACTCCTGGTCATGTCACATGTGCTGGTTTCGGGCTCAATCCCCAGTAGGGGGTGTGCAGGAGGCAGCTGATTGATGATTCTGTCCCATCATTGATGTTTCTATATCTCTCTCCCCCTCCCTTCCTCTCTCTGAAATCAATAAAAATACATATTTTAAAATCCTCTACTTAATGAATCACTCAAATGATGTTCTTCTATGAAGTAATAGTAATTACGATTGGAAGCTAATTAATCTGAATTTATTCCTAACCACACACATGGATTCTCAAATTGGGATATTCAACCTGGTTACCTTAATGTATGGGGCTGGCTGTCAATACCTGAATGCCAGTCCCAGCAAGTCAGTGGAAAAATGATGTGATTTGAAACTAATCATTTATCCTTGGTGCCACAATTTCTCCATCTGCACTGAAAATTAATCTTCCCTTAGAGAAGATTTGTAAGAAAGTATGAAATGTTAAGACTTATCATACTTCTAAGCCTCAGAAAGCATTCACATGCATATTTTAAATGTATATATATTGATTTCAGAGAGGAAGAAAGAGATAGAAACATTAATGATGAGAGGAAATCATTGATTGGCTTCCTCCTGCACATCCTCTCCTGGGGATGAGCCCACAACCCGGGCATGTGCCCTTGACCAAAATCGAACCGGGGACCCTTCAGTCCGCAGGGGCACACTCTATCCAATGAGTCAAACTGGCCAGGGCAACGTGCATATTTTTAAAAGGGCAACTTATTTGTACTTGACACAAATTAATACTATATGGCTTTAAACGAAATAGATCGATGACTGCTCTTTCTTTGAAAATTATCTTCTTACTGAAATCACATTAAAATTATAGTTTAATAGGGTTCACAAGGATATGCTGAGTAAATTATTTTGATTGCAATGAGGACTACCATCCTATTCAGGCAAAATGTACAAAGTATTTAAAGAAATGTCATGCGTTACATATTTACATGACCCATCCATAGAAACAGAAATCCTGCTCCCTGACAGCAGAGGGAGGGGAAACCCAAGCTTTGATTGGTTTGGTATAGTTTCTTGGGATATGGTTTGAAACTCAATCATGACTCTAGAGAGGCTGTGGCTGACAAAGGACAGAGTATAAATAAGCCAATTTTGATCAGATTCCCTGGCACGATTAAATGCCTGGTGCTGTTATAAAACAGATTCAGTAATGTCTACGTGGGGGGAAGGAGGATTTAAAGTACAAAAGCTTGAAAATATAGATGACAAATGTGGGACTAGAAGAGAAATAAAATGATCCTGACCGAATCAGACTTTTCTAAAAACCTTGTTTCTATGGGAAGTATGTGATTCTGCTGTAAGAGAAATTTAAAGAGGTTGGCACAACAACCCTTATATTTTCAAAGAAATGTGCAATACTTTCAGGTAGAAACAGTATTGCTAAATCTCCACATGACACTTTGAAACCACTAGCAGGAAAAAAGAAAATAAAATCATTATTAATCAATATAGAAGAAAAATGGTAAGCTGTCTTGCTGTTCAATAACTGATCATGCAAATGGACACGCCATATCGATAAATAAAATCTGTAGTTAACTGGTCATTTAAAAATGAATTGGATGAAAATGAATTTCTGCAGTGTACTCAGACATTTTAAGACTAAGGTAGTTTCAGAAAAAACATGGAACATCCTTCGAGAAGGCCTGTTTTGTGCTGGTTGTGACAGAGCACTCCATGCCCTATACAGAGTTCACAAAAAAATAATATTCACATTGAACATAGATCTCTTAGAGAATAAAGGGAAAACACTTTACAAATATACCTTTCTATAACATGCAGTGATTGGGTAATAGTAAATCATCATCCTTTACAAAGAAGGTGCAGGTGCTCCAAAATTAGAGTTAATGACTTTAGAAAGAGGTGTCAAAATTTTAATTCTCACCCAGGATATGTTTTTCATTGATCGGTTGCTTCCTGTACGTGCCCCGACCAGGGATTGAACCAGCAACCTGGGAATGTGCCCTGATGGGAAATGGAACCCGAGACCCCTTGGTGCATGGGATGACCCTTTAACCAACTGAGCCACACTGGCCAGGACTAGTGTCAAAATTTTAAATTAAAAAAACAACTTAATTTCAAAGTTGGTTTTGCCAAACCTCTGGTAAGTCCTAGGAATACAGGGTGAGCAAGAAGAAAATGTTCTCCCTCTTTTATGACATGCACCTCTCATTACCATGATGAATGCCATGGACCAAATGCCATCATAAACTTATTTGCACACTTGGGGCCAGCAAAGGCCAGGCTGGTTCTACGTAAAACTAAGCAGAGCGCAGTCCCACAAAAGAGCATGTGAAGGACTGATCCAACGGGAGATTTCCAAGGTCACCTGGCATCCAAATGACCCCAGAGTGAGTTCATCAAGTTTCTGTGATTCAGGATCCTGCCTTGCACTGTCTACAGGTTGTCCTGAACCCACTGGATGTCCTTGGACTGGGCCGCTCTCCCCTGGACAAGCATTTCTAGAACTGGAAGCGAAGGCTGAATGAGCAGGGCGGGCAGAGCACCATTTATCGGAGCCAACCCCCATCTAGCAGATGCTTGTAGACAAGAGCTTAGTGATTCTGGAGCAGCTCTTCCCAGCAGATGGGCTGTGAAAACACCTCTCTTTCCAGCCAGATCTCATAGGAACAGTGGAAATCCTCAGGCAGATCCAGCCTCTGCCCCAGCACACTCTGCAGGCAGTTATCCACAGGTGAAAACTCCGAGTCCTGAGGCCTGTCATACCGGCGGCTATTAAAAGCCTCAATGTTGGCCCTCAAGGTGCATTCTTCTGCCTGGAAGTCCCATGGCCTGGCATCGATGTCTGGCGGGAGGAGAGAAGGAAAAAGATGTACACAACTTAGGACACTGCTCCCCTTACCACAGAGCAAGGTCTATAGCAGTGACAGTGAACCTTTTGAGCTCGGCGTGTCAGCATTTTGAAAAACTCTAACTTAACTCTGGTGCCGTGTCACATATAGAAATTTTTTGATATTTGCAACCATAGTAAAACAAAGACTTATATTTTTGATATTTATTTTATATATTTAAATGCCATTTAACAAAGACAAATCAACCAAAAAAATGAGTTCGCGTGTCACCTCTGACACGCGTGTCATAGGTTCGCCATCACTGGTCTATAGGATACTAACAATGGAACTGCTCAGAATTTCCTTTTCTGTAAATGAAAAAAGTAAGTAAACAACATGCTGCCACTCAGGTTTAAAAAATACATACGTTAAAAAAATACCCACATACATACCCTTACATACACAGACTATCTTTGGAAGGATAGACTAGAAACTGGCAACAGTGATTACCACTGTAAGGACCCTGAGGGAGGTATCTTTTATTTTATTTTCTTTATTTCACTTCCTTATTAGTTGTATGTTCAGTAAGTAAGTCCTCACTTAACATCATTGATAGGTTCTGCAACACAACAAGGGACACAATTTTAACATAGGCTAATGGATATAAATGAGTTAGTTAGAAAGGCATCTCATCAATGTTATAATGAGAGAAACCAAGATGGCGGCATAGGTTAACGCCGGAGTTTGCTGCCTCGAACAACCACTTCAAAAATACAACTAAAAGACGGAACGGACATCATCCAGAACCACAGGAAGGCTGGCTGAATGGAAGTTCTACAACTAGGAGGAACCGAGAATCAGAGGAGGCGCAGTGCTGAAGTAAATACTAAGGTGCGGAGTGCACGCGGCGCGGGCTGGTGCTGAGGGCGTGGTTGTCTGTTTCAATCTGGAGTGAGCCTCAGACTCTGAGCTCCAGATCCGGGTGAGTCTCTAGGGACCCAGACTCAAGCGGGAGAAGCAGGACTGTCTGGCTACGGTCCCTCCGAGGTTTGCAGCTGTTGCTGGGACAGAGAGGCAGAGCCCCTGGGGACGGACTGAGAGCAGCCATAACTGCTCCCTCCTCTGCCCTGTTGATCCCGTGGGACCCACCCCGCCCAAGCCCTGCACAGAGGCATTTGCTGGATAGCCTCAGGCAAAGGCTAGATTAGCACCCCACTGCAGACACAGCTGATTATCACAGCCAGTTGGCCTGGAGGTCAAATCCCTCTAGTATTAACTATAACAATCAAGGCTTAACTACAACAAGACTGCGCACAAAGACCACTAGGGGGTGTACCAAGAAAGTGTAAAAAATGCGGAGACAAAGAAACAGGACAAAACTATCAAGGGAGGATATTGAGTTCAGAACCACACTTTTGAGGTCTCTCAAGAGGCTTCTAGAGTCTGTCGATAAACTTGATGAGATGTACAGGAAATCTAATGAGACCCTCGATGGTGTGATAAAGGACCATCTAGAAAGTAAGCATACACTGACTGAAATAAAGAATATTATACAGACTCCCAGCAGCAGACCAGAGGAGCGCAAGAATCAAGTCAAAGATTTGAAATTCGAAGAAGCGAGAAACACCCAACCGGAAAAGCAAAATGAAAAAAGAACCCAAAAATACGAAGATAGTGTAAGGAGCCTCTGGGACAGCTTCAAACGTACCAACATCAGAATTATAGGGGTACCAGAAGATGAGAGAGAGCAAGATATTGAAAACCTATTTGAAGAAATAATGACAGAAAACTTCCCCCACCCGGTGAAAGAAATAGACTTACAGGTCCAGGAAGCGCAGAGAACCCCAAACAAAAGGAATCCAAAGAGGACCACACCAAGACACATCATAATTAAAATGCCAAGAGCAAAAGACAAAGAGAGAATCTTAAAAGCAGCAAGAGAAAGAAACTCAGTTACCTACAAGGGAATACCCATACGACTGTCAGCTGATTTCTCAACAGAAACTTTGCAGGCCAGAAGGGAGTGGCAAGAAATATTCAAAGTGATGAATAGCAAGAACCTACAACCAAGATTACTTTATCCAGCAAAGCTATCATTCAGAATTGAAGGTCAGATAAAGAGCTTCACAGATAAGGAAAAGCTAAAGGAGTTCATCACCACCAAACCAGTATTATATGAAATGCTGAAAGGTATCCTTTAAGAAGAGGAAGAAGAAGAAAAAGGTAAAGATACAAATTATGAACAACAAATATGCATCTATCAACAAATGAATCTAAGAATCAAGTGAATAAATAACCTGATGTACAGAATGAACTGGTGATTATAATAGAATCAGGGACATAGAAAGGGAATGGACTGACTATTCTTGGGGGGAAAAGGGGTGTGGGAGATACGGGAAGAGACTGGACAAAAATCGTGCACCTATGGATGAACACAGTGGGTGGGGAGTGAGGGCGGAGGGTGGGGTGGGAGCTGGAAGGAGGGGAGTTATGGGGGGAAAAAAGAGGAACAAGTGTAATAATCTGAACAATAAAGATTTAATAAAAAAAGAAAAAGAAAGGCATCTCATCAATGTTATAATGAAACAA